CACACACACACACACACACACACACACACACACACACTAACCCGCAGCAGGAGCCCACAGCTGAGGCGTTAAATCACCTTTCAACTTGTTTTCATTCCTCGTGTTTGGAGTCTGATCTCACAGGAAAATCTTATTTTTTCACACAAACATAAAAAACATCTAGTTTCTAATAAATGTGAGGACGGTGAGTTAGGAGGGTTAAAAAATTAAATTAAATTAAATTAAATTAAATTAAATTATTCCAAAATCAAGCCGATCTTTGAATTTTATTCAGAAATGAAAATAAAATTCTCCACCGGACTCGACGGGCCTCAGTCAGCAGGTCAAAGGTCACGGTTGTTTGACAGGAGAACCTCTTCCTGTCCTCAGTGTCCCAGTGAGACGTACGACGCTCAGCACAAGTCCACCAAGGACTTCCCGGACGAGGTGGTGAGCTTCATGCGGCAGCACCAGCTGATGTGGGAACCGGTCCTGCCTCTGGGGGGCCGACCGGTCCTGACCCGGGTCAACTCCCCCTACATGCTGAGCAAGGTGGTGGTGGACAGAGTGGACGCTGAGGACGGACAGTATGATGTCTTACACCTGGGGACAGGTGGGTGAGAGGTGGAGAGTAGCTGTTTCACTTCCTGTGTGTGTGTGTGTGTGTGTGTGTGTGTGTGTGTGTGAGAGACGTTCTTCTGTTTAACACACGTGTTCTGTTTGTTCCGTGACGTTCTGCAGATGATGGGAAGGTTCTGAAAGCTTTGTCTGTCATCAAAGACAGCTGGGAGACGGAGGAGATCCTGCTGGAGGAACTCAGCGTCTTCCAGGTGAGACCACCTGCAGAACCTTTAGTAAGGTTGATACAGTGTTCTCCTGTGACGTTCTGCTGCAGAACCTTTAATAAATATGTAGTTTCAGGTTGATATGGTGTTCTCCGGTGACGTTCTGCTGCAGAACCTTTGACCCAGACTCACTCTACGGGACTTTTATGGCTACAAGTTAGTTTTTGTGTGTCCTGCTGCCCATCATTCCTGCAGCACATGATGTCCTGCGTGAGGCCGTCTCCTGTGGGACACATTAGTCCAGAAAAACTACAGTTCTCTTAAAAACAGATTATAGTGCACATATTTCCCAAGATCCTCGGAGTAAATAATCTGACCGGTGAGAGAGAGAGAGAGACGGGAGCAATGACAGAACCTGAAAAAAGAACAGAAGCAAAGACAGAAATGTTCTTAATGATGTTAAATAAAAACACAAAGAGAACAAACTGTAAAGTTTTATTTCCTGCAGAATAAATTTCATTAGAACTGTTTAATAATTTAAAGTTTAATGACTCTTTACTTCCTGTTTAGTGTCTTTATTATCAACCTGATTATTTAACATTTGTTTAGTTTATTTATGAAGTTTTTTTCTCCAACAGAGTCCAGCTCCCATCCTGAGCATGGAGCTGTCCACCAAGAGGGTAGGTCTACCTGTCGGGTTCTTCCTGCTGAACCTGTTCTCACAGGTTCCTTTGGTTGTAGTAGAACATAAGAACCTGTTCTCACAGGTTCCTTTGGCTGTAGCAGAACATAAGAACCTGTTCTCACAGGTTCCTATGGCTGTAGCAGAACATAAGAACCTGTTCTCACAGGTTCCTTTGGCTGTAGCAGAACATAAGAACCTGTTCTCACAGGATCCTTTGGCTGTAGCAGAACATAAGAACCTGTTCTCACAGGATCCTTTGGCTGTAGCAGAACATAAGAACCTGTTCACACAGGTTCTTTTGGCTGTAG